GCTTCAAGCAGTCAGTAAAGGGAGGCATGCTCACCCTGCAGCCCAGTTGGGCTCTGGATCTGTGGGGTTGCCTCAACTCATGGAGGCATGGGGGTCTCTGAGCTTTGTCTGGGGTTAGGGTGGAGGGGTTTGCCCCAGGCAGGGCAGAGGCAGGTTGGGAGAGCAGGGCTGGTGAGACACCAAGGGGGAGGTGGTGCCAGCAGCATACTCTGCATTCCTGGCCTAGGTTGGTGAGGTACAGAGTGTCCCTGCCCTGTCCCAGCCCAAGCCCCGGGACCTGTGCGCTGGAGCAGCTCTGGGAAGGGCTTAGACCTCCTGCCAGCCAGGGCTGCTCCAACCCGGCTCAACATGTTGAGGTCCTGACTACACATATAAGCACAGTACCCAGGAACAATAAACTCCAGCGTGAACTGTGCTGTAGTTCATTGTGTTGCACTACTTGCACATGTAGATGTGCCCAGTTAGTACTAAAATCTTTACTGAAGAAGTCATAGATATACATGGCACATATGAAAATCCTGCAAACCACCTTCAGCACTCAGCTTTACATAAATCCAATCTAGTGTGTTTTTTAGAAATACCCTTCCCTCCCTACTGCAAGTCAGTATAGACTTACACTTCAAAAGGCTAATGGGAACAGTTAGCAAATGAATTGTTTGTAAGAGCCCTACAATTAAGACATAGCCACATAGAAAATAAGAAATACAACAAATGGAATAAATTGCAGCCAGCATCTAGTGACATTCAGTACCTATTTCAGGAAAAAACAGCTATTTACAAGAAACAAAATAAATAAATAAACCCAAACCAAAAACTACATGCTTCATACATTGGTACAGAAAAATGTCTGCGTCGACCACTGTTTCAAATATCTGTTTATGCATAATGGAGCCACCCCAAACTATGTAATACAGACTGATTCACCTGTCTAGCCACAGATTTCAATATTGATTTTCATTAAAAATTGAGGCTGCTTATTAGAATTTGAGGACATAGAAAGGAGTGTGAGCTGGCTAACCCCATCTACAACTCACCAAGAAAACCAAAACATCATCCCACATCTAAAAGGTAGTAGACTAGCTGGATAATATTAGAAGCAAAAGCCAATTACTATTACTTCAGTTTAAGAAAAAACACACAGCTTTCTGATTTCAAAGAACTAATTATAAGAAAATATTCTTGAAGTTAGAAAGGTGAAAGTTACCTCAAAAACAGGAGGAGTTATGTGCTTCTAGAGCTTGAAGGCTTCTACACCTGCCTTTATTGTACGGTCCTAAATGCCTTTGGTAAGTAGCATTGTGACAACTGAAGTCTTGAGGTTTCTTATCATATGCCAGGTGTAGCAGTTGTAATTCAAACCACTTGAGGGCAACAATGCATATACCATTTTGTACACATTTGTGTCTCCCCACCTTTCCAGTCCCCCATGGACACTAGTAAAAGGAAGCAGGCTAGACTTCATATACAAGACACATGCCCTTTCCTGTGGGGAAGGATTCTAGTGGATATGACCAGAGAGGTTAATGAGGAAGTCAGAAGAAAAAGTTTTCTTCTGCCACCTTCCTCTTTTTCAGAGGAGAAATTTAGGCTTGTAAAGAGTGGTAGGCAAGAGGGAGAGAGTTTCTTCCTCCTTTATTACCCTCTCCTGTGACATCCATAGGCTAATGACTTCACTCAGGTCTCCTTAAACTCCCTCCAACCTACTACTCAGAGACGCAACCTCTGTTCTCTACCAGGCATTTCCTTCCACCCCTCAAAATCTCCTTGGGTCCTTCTTTTTTTACACATCACTATCATCAGGGATATCTTTCCTACCAGTGGTCAGATATACAACGAAAGCAACTCAGACTAGGGGAAGTCAAATGGGATGGTCCTGACTGTAGGAAGCCCAATGCAGTGTTCTTGGGAAATGAATATGAGCCATATCCATTAGCAGTTTCTCCAAAGCTGTCAATCCACCTATTACAGAGATTCCTCAATGTCACAACAGCAGTGCAGGATTTATTAGCGGGGCCCAGCCCAACTAGGTCCACAGGATCAGTAACTTCCGATGATGAAATGAGCTAATGAAACATAAGAATAGAAGCTCTGCTAAAACTCCAAGATGCCAGTGTGGCAGTCATTCCAGAACCACTTGCTCCCCTGTCACTGAGATGGACCAGTCTCAGCCAGTCATTGAGCAGGGATGGTAGAAAGTAAAACTGACTTCTAACTTTAATTTCTTCACCTTCAAGCCTTCAGTTCTCATTAACTGTTCAGACTGAGCATGCATACACCTTGACTGGATGACAGCAGTCAGGCTATGAAGATTTGCACTAATTAACGTATAGTTGTTATTTCTCAATAAGCCGGTTAGAAAAAAATGCAAGTTCCTCTGTTCTGACTGGTTCCCATCAGCATTTTCCAGCTCTTTGCCAACAAAAAAAAAATATATTTTCCACTCCCAACATCTATGTGAAAAAGTAAGGAAAACATTCCAAACAGAAGAAAAACTAAGTTATTAAACAACAGTATGGGGAAAACACTTTCTTGGATCCCTTTGTATCCAGGTCAGCCAAACCTTCTTTCTAGGCCTGTGCGAAGTGGCTAGTATTCGCTTCAGATTTGGATTCTGCAATATGGTGGACAGTGATTCGATTCAGTGATTTGAATTGATTCAGCTGAATCTGATTTGGAGATTCGGCTGCTGCCAAATCTCCAAATCACAGGTCCATCCTCTGCCTGCTCTCTCAGTCCTGGCAATGTCTGCCCCACCCACCCCATCTCCTGGCCCTTTGAACCCCCGCCCCCCCC